TTTTGCAATAACAGGACCCTATTTGCGCAAATTCACAAAAGCAGGACCCTTGTTATAAGAATGTGACTTAGCGTTTATTTTATATTCACAAATTATGAATAGTTTTTTCACAATTTTACAAAAACAGGACCTTTCACTAAATGTCTGGACAGACCATTGCTTCTAATTTTTGCTTAATATGTTTTAGTTTCTTTTCAATTTTTTTGGTGCTCCTCGCAGTATTAAATTGATATATTTTACTTGGCTATATTCATTCTTTTACTAGGAGCCATACATATTCAAAAACCTAATAAATAAATAAGTTAATGGTTAAAAATTCTTGAAAATATACTCAATTAGAAAAATCCCGAAATTTCCCTGTAGTCTAAATGGCGTCATTTTTTTTGAATAAATACAGATCTCTACATTTTCCTATTTGAATGACAACATTTCAATTAAAGTTAAAATATTTTTGCAATCAATTCTCTTTTAGAATCCCTAGATAAATCATCCAAAATATGAAACTTTTTCATATTTTCATGACTAGATAACTCTGGGCCAATTTCTATCATTCCTGCTATGGGAATACCTTAATGTAAAATACGGGGAAAAAATCAAACACAAGCTATGAATTAATCTTAATCTAAAATAATGAAATGTCTATTCATTTGAATTAGTCGAATTCTCTTCGTATTTAATATTATATTTTATAATTTCATATTTTATAATTTTATATTTTATAATTTTATATTTTATAATTTTACATTTTATAATTTTATATTTTATAATTTTATATTTTATAACCGTCGTTGAACAGCCGACTCAATTTTTCAGGCTTACGACTACTAATGTTCAGCTCCGTAACCTTGTAATTTTGAACCCAATCCAGAAGACACGGGAACTCCTGAATAAAGTATAGGGAGAAATTTGCCTTCGTGGAGGACTTTTTGATGGAACTAACCCGTATTTGCGTTACATGGAGAGGAAAACCATAAAAACCTCCCACGGTTAAACAGATAAACACTTTAAATGTATTTATCCATACTTAAAGTAACTACAGTCCCTGGCCAAATTATTAAACGCACTATACGATTCTATGTAAAATCTTAATTATCAGTTCATACTATACAGCTTTATTGTTTTTACGTGACTGAAACCGGTTTGCACTTGTGTACGTTTGTGTAACAATGGGTTAAATTCGACGATATAATCTATAAGTATCGAATATTTATTATATGAGGTATTTATTTTAGATATTATATTAATTAGACCGAATTAGTAGACGCACTGTAGTTTTTTAATAATTTCGTGTAGCTTGGCGGCAAGGGGACTCTAACCCATGATCCGTCTACCACTGACGATATTTTACGTCAGCACTGTGGTCGGTGCAAGCCGGATGCGGAATTCGTATCTACCAGCCATCGCCGGGATTCGAACCTGATTCACCTCTTTGGGAGGATAACGCTCTATCCCCTAAGCCATCATGGCTCAGTCAAATTGTCATGTAAAATATAGCCTTAGAAATATATTTCATTAAAATGCAAAAAGCTTTTGTTCTTGTTAAAGGAGTGCACATCGCATTTCGATCTGCACTCGTCAAACACTTAGTCAATGTCTTGGTTGTGCTAGTTACAATTCAGCATAAAATTTTACAAAAAAAAATTTAATAGTGGTTCAATAATTATTTTGGCTCATTATACCTGAAGTAAATAATGATTCTGAAAAATCAAATCAACTTTAAACCAGAATATTGGGAAAGTGTTTCGTTGAATCTTTTAAAAGTGTACCACGTTTGAGACGGATTCGTTTGCACCATAATATGAAACCTTATTATGGGCCCTATTCTTATGCATCAACAAGCTCCTAATTTGATAAAAGCAAATAAGATTTTGATTCCCTTTGTGGCAACTCGAAAAGTTGTTAAAAAGTAATTTTAAGAAAAAAAGCTCTTATATTGAATTCATTCGTATTTGTATGGATTTTAAAAAAATGACTAGATCATGAATTTTGTATCTGACTTTCAAAGAGAATTTAAAAGCTATAATTTCTTTCTTCGATTAGATTCTCCTAAAAAGGTTAAAAACGGCATTAAATTTTTTCCTTATCGTGCGAAAACCGTTGTGATGAGTTCGATAAAGAAGCTCATCAAAAAGTGTTGAGAAAAGTTGATAACGGTATCGATGTTGCAATTAGGAGGGAAAAAGTGCTTCCCCCGCACAATCTCTTTGCTTTTAGACAAAGACTTTCTTCAATTGTTTCCTCCGAAGAAAAATTTGAGAAAGTTAAGATTAGGGTTAAGTTAAGTTAAGAACATGAAACAGAGATATTTTTTTTCTCATAAAAAAGAGTCACATTGATTTTCTTGCTCGTTAAGCTCATTAACCACTGTGATAGTCACACATTCATCTTTTTTTTTTCTTTTTTTAATAATCGATATTTTTTTTTGAAAATAAATAAATAAATAAATAGTAATTATGTTTAGAAAATATATAATTTTTTAACCGTCGTTTAACAGCCAACCCGATTTTGGGTTTACGACTACTAATGTTCAACTCCGTAGCCTTATAATTTTGAACCCAATCCAGAAGACAAGGGAACTCCTGCATCAAGCATTGGGAGAAATTTGCTATCGTGTAGGACTTTTTGATGGAACTAACCCGCATTTGAGTTATATGGAGAAGAAAACGACGAAAACATCCCACAGTTAGCCTGACGGCAAAGGGATTCTAACCCATGATCCGTCTGCCACTGAGTGTATTATAAGCACTGTGGTCAGTGCGAGCCAAGCCCGAATCGACAAGCCATCGGTAGGATTCGAATCCGGTTCACCTCATTGGAAGGCGAACGCCCATATCTACCACAGGACACTGTTCAGAAAATATTTTATCTTGTAACCGTCGTTGAACAGGCGACCTAATTTTGGGTATGTTAATGTTCAACTCCGTAGCCTTGTAATTTTGAACCAATCCAGAAGACAAGGAAACTCCTGGATCAGTAGCCCCAGTGGTATGATTTGTTATGGGAACATGGAGGACTTTGAGACTCGACAGATTTACCGTGTATCAGTCACCGTTTACCACACCGGCCGACGGGGATCGAGCCCAGGACCTCTTGGACATGGGCCAGTGCCCTACCAACCAGACTATCCCGGCTTAATTTTAGAAAAGATTGAATTAATTGTATCAAGCCAATAAAATATCATGGAATTGCCATGTTGCCAAAATTTCTAAAAGCGCATATTGAGCTACACCCATAAGATGTGAAGGGAGGGAATTGAAAATAAACTGGTGAATTTACTGTGAATATTTTCCTTTTCAATTTTCTCGTCAGTTTTGGAATTCCCGTCATTTTTAAAGACACTTGGAATGTTCGTACAACGGATATGATCTTCTAAGTTTTTGGAATCACTCGCATTATTCATTCTAGCGAAATGACCCCTGTTTATTACTTTATTTTTTTGTCACATATAAACTGAATTAATTATTGGATAATTAGAAATTATTGCTGATAATTTTTTTTAATATTCTGGTTACCCTATGATTCATCTTTTGGAAATCACTGTAATAGAGTATTTTTGAGGCAATTAAATAACTTACATGTAACCATATTTTTAACCTCCACCCATCTAAAATAATTCGGTTCATCTGTTTATAATAGCAAAAAACGCAAATTTAATTGAAATTTATAAATAAAATATATAATCATAAACCGCTTTACATATATAATCATAGATATTCGGTTTTAATTCGGTTTATCAGCTTACAATAGCAAAAAACGAAAAAAAATAATTAAAATTTATGAATAAAATATATAATTATATATATAATCATAAACCGTTTTACATATATAATCATAGATAGATGCTCGGTTTTAATTCGGTTTATTCGCTTACAATAGCAAAAAACAGAAAAATTAATTAATATTTATAATTAAAATATATAATTATATATAAAATCATACACTGTTTTACTTATATAATTATAGATACTCGGTTTGAATTCGGTTTATCAGCTTACAGTAGCAAAAAACGAAGAAAAAAATTAAAATTTATAAATAAAATATATAATTATATATATAATCATAAACCCGTATACATATATAATCATAGATACTCAGTTTTAATTCGGTTTATTCGTTTACAATAGCAAAAAACAGAAAAATTAATTAAAATTTATAAATAAAATATACAATTATATATAAAATCATAAACCGTTTTACATATATAATTATGGATACTCGGTTTTAATTCGGTTTATTCGCTTACAATAGCAAAAAACAGAAAAATTAATTAAAATTTATAAATAAAATATATAATTATATGTAAAATCATAAACCGTTTTACATATATAATTATAGATACTCGGTTTTAATACGGTTTATCAGCTCACAATAGCAAAAAAACAAAAAGAAATTAATCACAATTTATAAGTAAAATATACATATATAATCATAGATACTCGGTTTTAATTCGGTTTATCAGCTTACAACTGCAAAATTAAAATTTATAAGTAAAATATATAATTATCTATAAAATCATAAACTGATTTATATATAAAATCATAGATACTCTACATTTTAGAAATATTTTGACTGGTGAATTCTTCATATGCTCACGATTTACACAGTTGCTTAAGAACTTGTATAGATATTTTTCTTCTTTTTTACATAAAAAAAAAATGTTTTAATTTCGTATTAAAGGGAAAGAAAAAGTTGTTTTTTTTAACAAATCGAAAATACTCTATTTGCTAATAATTTTTTAAAATTTCCAATGGCACATTAAAAGACAATTGAACATCATAAAGATAACAATAAATCTGTAAATAAGAGAGAGCGTTCCAGTAGCGCTCCCAGATAGATTTTTGAGCGAGAGCAGAGCACCTAGACAGATGAGACAAGTCCATTACCTCGTGGAGGTCACACAATGTACAAAAGGGATCATGAACCACGTTGATGCGACATATAAATGTTTTGTCAGGCAATCGTGGCCAGCTATCAGACGAAACATGGCGACCGATATCATCCTAGGCCACTGAGGGACATTGAGAATCTGGTATATTGGAATTACGATTTTTGAGTTGCTCGTGAAAAGAGGCCCTGAAGATGTTCTTTACGAGACTTTCGATATTATAGAAAGGGAGTCTGGAATTAGATCTCTGTAGGACAGAGGCTCCCTTTTTTGCCAAGAGATCGGCAGCCTCGTTTCGCTGATTTCCACAGTGGGCCGTAATCCACTGGAGAACCACTATCTTATTATTACTGGCAAACCACTTGAGAAGATTTGAGCAATTATCGATGGTCAAAGTTCGAGAGCGACTTGGAGCAAGTATTGCTTCAAGTGCAGCCTTTGAGTCAGATAATATTACAACTTTTGAGAAGGAGTCTAAAAGCGGCCGAAGTTGTGACAGGGCCTGGTAAATGGCCGCAATCTCGCCATCGAAAGCCGATCTATAAATGCCGATGAGAGTATACAGGCAGAAAAGTTCACAGTAAACACAATCACTCATTTTAGAACCGTCAGTATATATTCTCAACCATTCTTCCTCGGGGTAGAAGGATTCCATTGTTTCGAATGTGAGATCTCTCAAAACTATATCGCTAGTCTCCGCCCTTGAGACATCCGTGATGGCGGATAGAAAATCCCCAGTCAGCAAAGGAATTGATGGGAGGTAAGAAATGTTCAATCTCAAAATTCAAATCTAACTTAGATATAATATCAGTAACTCCCTGCAGAAATCCCTTTCGTGTTTGAATCTATCTCTATCTATCTCTATCTATCTTGAATCTATCTCTATCTATCTTGAATCTATCTCTACCTATCTATTTGAATCTATCTCCGTTTTGAATCTATGTATTATTTTGAATCTATGTATTATTTTGAATATATCGATTATATTGAATATATCGATTATTTTGAATATATCGATTATTTAGAATATATCTATTTTTTCCGAAGAAATTTGGACGCTTAACTTTATTTTGTATCATGCGTTAACTAATTTGGAAGTATTCTTTTTTAATACAGCATACTTTCTGCATCTGGAACTTCAATATCTCGGAAGCCTTGTTATGTCAAAAAAATATTTTTCACAGTGGCATTACACATAATCCTAATGTTAATTTGAATTCTTATGTCAAAAAGTTTCTTCTCGGTTATGTAGCATATTTTTCGAAATAGAAAATGAATATTTTCAGAAAAATCGCAAAGCAAGTTTACTGTAAACAATTAATTATTTTCTACTTAATGCATAATTATTTTTGTCTTACTTTTAAAAATAAAATTATCATTACTGTATTTAGACTTATAGTCAACTATCATATGTATGTAAATATATATTTATCAGAAGTTATTTTTATGTTTCATGTTTTTAGAGTAATATCTTAGAATATATTTTTCAACTTTTAAGAACATATTTAGTTCTGAACTTGTTATCTCGAAAACTCGCTATCTCGAAATTTTTTTAACCTCCCTTCAACTTTGAGATACTCTACTTACAAATACAGTCCCGGGCCAAATTATAAGACGCACCTTTAGATTCTATGTAAAATCCTAATTGTCAGTATATACTTGCAGCTTTATTGTTTTAACGGTACTGAAACCGGTTTTCACTTGTTTACGTTCGTGCAACAATTGTGTTAAATTATACGATACAAAATACAAATTCGACGATTGGATAAATTAGACTACACTACCGGTCAAAAGTTTGCGAAAATTTTGAAATCTACAAAAAAAAGTTCTAAATTCAAATGTTCATAGAACTGCGAAAAATCATTCAAATGGCATGAAAATTTGATATGTTCTAATGTGAACTCTTTACAGTTAGTTACATATGATCAAATTGCAATACTTTGTTTTTTGCGAACTAAATCCACCTTTTCATCATGAGTNTATAATTATCTATAAAATCATAAACTGATTTATATATAAAATCATAGATACTCTACATTTTAGAAATATTTTGACTGGTGAATTCTTCATATGCTCACGATTTACACAGTTGCTTAAGAACTTGTATAGATATTTTTCTTCTTTTTTACATAAAAAAAAAATGTTTTAATTTCGTATTAAAGGGAAAGAAAAAGTTGTTTTTTTTAACAAATCGAAAATACTCTATTTGCTAATAATTTTTTAAAATTTCCAATGGCACATTAAAAGACAATTGAACATCATAAAGATAACAATAAATCTGTAAATAAGAGAGAGCGTTCCAGTAGCGCTCCCAGATAGATTTTTGAGCGAGAGCAGAGCACCTAGACAGATGAGACAAGTCCATTACCTCGTGGAGGTCACACAATGTACAAAAGGGATCATGAACCACGTTGATGCGACATATAAATGTTTTGTCAGGCAATCGTGGCCAGCTATCAGACGAAACATGGCGACCGATATCATCCTAGGCCACTGAGGGACATTAAGAATCTGGTATATTGGAATTGCGATTTTTGAGTTCCTCGTGAAAAGAGGCCCAGAAGATGTTCTTTACGAGACTTTTGATATTATAGAAAGGGAGTCTGGAATTAGATCTCTGTAGGACAGAAGCTCCCTTTTTTGCCAGGAAATCGGCCGCCTCGTTTCCCTGGATACCAGAGTGGGCCGTAATCCACTGGAGAACCACTATCTTGTTATTACTGGCAAACCATTTGAGGAGATTTCAGCAACTATTGATGGTTTAAAGTTCGAGAGCGGCTGAGAACATTAATTGCTTGAAGTGCAGCCTTTGAGTCAGATAATATTACAACTTTTGAGAAGGAATCTAACCGCAGCCGAAGTTGTGGCAGGTGTGGGGAGAGTAGCTTTTGACCATGTCAACCGTCATCTATGAAAAGGTATCTCGACATAGAGTCGAGTTAACATGTCTTATATACTAGTGCATTGTAGTTGTAATTTTGTAGTGGTAGATACGCTACAGTACTCTCCCACCGGAATTATATCTGTGATAGAATTCGATGAATGGATACCACTAGTTGAATCATTGCTGTTTTTGTGCGAAGTCGGGAGATCTGTATTAAGATCACCGTACTTTTTGAGTGCTGAATGTGAGAGGTGTATTAACTTCACGGTCATAGCCGCTCCTGTGTTGCCTTTAGCAGTCGAGTGTATGCGTTGCACGTTCTGTGTGATTGAAACTGAGCAGCAACAGCGCTAGGAGGTGCATGATGTTGCAGTCACAAGTAGCAAGTCAACTGTTCAATGTGGACCATCCAACGAAGTAGGCGTATTCAGATCGAAGTGGGCGTTACTGCCCAGGTAGGCGTGTTCACATCACGTCCGAAGGTGACCAATGTAGGGAGAGTAGTTTTTGATCATGTCAACCGTCATCTAGGAAAAGGTACCCCGACATAGAGTGGAGTTAACATGTCTTATATACTAGCGAATTGTAGTTGTAATTTTGTAGTGGTAGATACGCTGCAGCAGGGCTTGGTGAATGCCTGCAATCTCGCCATCGAAAACCGATCTATAAATGACGATGGGAGTATACTGGCAGAAAAGTTCATAGTAAACACCAGCACCAGCGTTAACACAATCACTCATTTTAGAACAGTCAGTATATATTCTCAACCATTCTTCCTCGGGATAGAAGGATTCCATTGTTTCGAATGTGAGAGCTTTTAAAACTATATCACGAATCTCCGCCTTTGAGACATCCTTGATGGCGGTTAGAAAATCCCCTGTCAACAACGGGGTTGATGGGAGGTAAGAAATGTTCAATCTAAAAATTCAAATCTAACTTAGATATAATATCAGTAACTCCCTGCAGAAATCCCTTTCGTATTTTCAAGTTTCGCTCACGGACTGGAGAATTCTGGTTCCACTAGGACAGACACCCGGGAGTTCTAATTATTCTCTCCCAGGGGAGGAGGGCTCTTTTTCGCATAATCAACTTGAAAGGTCTGTTGTCCGTACAGCACTAGTACAGGAATATCAAGAAGGTTATGAACTTTTGCTAATAATTTTGAATTTTTAAATCAATTTTCAATCGATCATTCCATTTAAATGGGGAGGGGGTTAGTGCGGATATTTTTTATAAATGTGCCGAAAAAGCTTATTAATAATTATTTTGAATCTATCTATTATTTTGAATCTATCTATTATTTTGAATATATCGATTATTTTGAATATATCTATTTTTTCCGAAGAAATTTGGACGCTTAACTTTATTTTGTATCATACGGAAAATAATTCGAAAGTATTCTTTTTTTAATACAGCATATTTTCGATATCTGGAACTTCGATGTCTCGAAAACCTTGTTATGTGAAAAAAATATTTTTCTCTGTGGCATTACAAATAAACCTAATGTTAATTTAAATTCTTATGTCAAAAAGTTTCTTCTCGGTTATGTCCGCATATTTTCCGAAATGGAAAACGAATATTTTCAGAGAAATCATAAAGCAATTATTTTCAACTTAATGCATAATTATTTTTGTCTTACATTTAAAAATAAAATTATCATTGTTGTATTTAGACTTATAGTCAACTATCATATGTATGTAAATATATATTTATCAGTAGTTATTTTTATGTTTCATGTTTTTAGAGTAATATCTTAGAATATATATTTCAACTTTTAAGAACATATTTAGTTCTGAACTTGTTATCTCGAAAACTCGCTATCTCGAAATTTTTTTAACCTCCCTTCAACTTTGAGATACTTTACTTACAAATATAGTCCCGGGCCAAATTATAAGACGCACCTTTAGATTCTATGTAAAATCTTAATTGTCAGTATAGACTTACAGCTTTACTGTTTTAACGGTACTGAAACCTGTTTGCACTTGTTTACGTTCGTGTAACAATTGGTTGAATTATACGATATAAAATACAAATTCGACGATTGGATAAATTAGACGATATATTATATAAATACAGAATATTTATTACATCAGGTATTATATTACTATATTGTAATAATTAAATCAAATTTTTAGACGTTCTGTAGTTTTTTAATAATTACATGCTTTGCACGAGTTTACATGCAATACTTTTAGTTTTAAACACACATGCAATGGGTTTTAATTCAGGAGATTTTTTTATATACTTCCTATTTGTATTTATTTTTAACGTACTGCATTACAATTCTAATCAATTGATATGCGAAAGTAAACGAAAGAATATATATATATGTTACCTTTAAAGTATGAAATCCGTTATTTTATAGAATACCTATAGTTATTCCATGAAATAACTGATCGTGTCCGTTAGAGTGTAAAACTCTCTTGTATTTCATGGTTTAACTAGTTATTTCATAGAATAACGATCTGCTGCCCGTTAAAGTGAAAAATAATCTATATCATATATCTCGTACTGGTCAGGGATTTAAAAAATGTTCGTGTAAAACCCAATGTGTCAACAAAAAATGTTTTTGTTTTAGAAATAATGTTCTTTGTAATTCCAAGTGTCATTTTAGTAATCCTTATTGTAACAAATGGTTTTGTGGTACGTTTCCATAAATACCATTTATACGCTGCATAAATTACATAAATTGCTTCTTTTTCATTTTAATTGTCTATCATTAGTTTATTTATAGAATACCTAGTTATTTCATTTCAGATAAATTGTGTATT